AAAAATAATTTTACAATTTAATTTTATAATTAATTATAAATTACTATATTTATTTTATTAATTAAGTTATTTTTTATTTATTGAAACTAATGAATTTAAAAATATGAAATTTCCTATTATTGTTATATTTATTAAACCCAAAATAAATATCTTTATTGAAATACAACAAATTAATTCAATTAAAATTTTCAATTAATTTTATTAAAGAAAATAAAGGTAATAACAATTTAAAATTAATTAATGTATTGACTAACATTATTAAACTAATAAATATACAAGTTAATAATATAAATATCAGTTTATTCTTTTAAAGAAATAATCATTTGAAACATTAATATTGTTTTAAACTACTTATTCTTTTTTGATATTATTTAGTGTAAATTCAATGTTAATATATCAATGAAAATTTATTATTAACCAAATAAAATTAAATCACTTTTTGGTAAATACTTCTTTACAATACTTAACTTATTATTTAAAATAATATCTTGTAATTTCTACGTCTCTTTCTATTGAATAAATTTAAAAAATTTATTTTGTTTCGAGTAATACCTTAATTTAACTTTGGAATTTACAATTAAAATCAAATTTAAAGAGTGAGAATAAAGTTATACAGAATACCATTTTCATTTTAGTCACTTAAAATTAATTCTAGTGAAAGTACTAACTATATTTTACATTGATGTTAAGCTAATTAAAGTTATTATTGTATTTAAGACTATTGTCTTAATAAGTCATTGGGTTTCTTATTAGTATGTATTTTCTAAAATAATAGAATGTCTTTTAATCTTTATGTCAGTTTGAGTGTTTTTATTTTCTATTTTGTCATCATCATTATTCATTACTTTTATTTCTTCTTTGGCTATTGAGTTTTGAGATAAATCTTTGAAACTAACATAATTTTTATTATTCCATAATATTCTAAAATTGTTTAATGCTTCTTTAGAAAGATAAGTACCAATAACATCATTACATATCCATTGATCAGTATTTGATTGTGTAATGTTTATTCTCTGTAAAATATCATCTGAATATTGTTGAATCATTTTATTTGGATAGTCTCTTTGAATAAGTCTCATAATTTCTCCTTCAATAGTGCCAATAATTTCTTGTTTATTTCTATAACCAATAAATTCAATTTTATCAATACATTTAATTTTTATTTCTCTCATATTCCAATCAATTACTTTAATTCCTACCACATACTCTTCAGTTTGAGTTTGTTCTGGAATATCATCATCAACAAAAATAACAACATCATTTTTAATTCTTTCAGTAGATTCTTGAGTATTAATTGAATATAAAAATTCACAAATATTTCTTCTTCTTTTTCCAATCCATTGATTATTTTTTCTTTTTTTCATAATAACTTGTAGTATTGGTTCTTCAATTCTTAAATCTTCATTCTTTTGAATATATTGGTTAAATTCTTTTTCAACAACTCTACAATAAATTCGATTTCTAATAAGAGAACTTTTAATATTTTGAAGTTGTTGAAGAATACATAAATCTTTTAATGTACAAACAGCCCTTTTATCATTATCATTAAAAATAGTTCCTTTCCATAAAATACTAATTGGATTATTTATTAAATTTCCTTGATATTCTGTCAAACATTTTCTTTTATAACTTCTTTCAGTTTTAAAAAATAAATGGATTTGTTGTTCATTATTAATTTTTTGACTTTCATTAATTGCTTTATTAAAATCAATAATTCCATCAAGTTCTTCACAATACTTCTCATTTAAAATAATACATTTTTTTTGAATGACACATTGAGTTTTTTGAGGTTGTTTATTTATTATTTTAACTGAATAAGTTTCTGTTCCATTCCATCCTCTAGTAAGAATAATTAATTTATTCTTTTTATTAACAAATGAACTAATAATTCTATCTTTTTCTAACCATAAAGTAATTTTTGAAAGATCTTCTAAATTAATTTCTTTACAACCAACTTCATTAATTTTTTGATAATTCTTATGAGAATTAAGAGTAATTTGTTTTTGTGATACAAATAAAAGAAGAGATAATTCATTAAGGTGAGTATAATAATGATTTTTAATTCCATGACTCATACAAAAATAATAAAAGTTCATAATTCTTTCAAGATTGTTTTTTATTAATATTATATCATGATCAGCAATATATTTCATCATCTCATTAACATAAATAAATAAATCATTCCCAATAGACTCATTATAAGTTGAATATTCTATAACTTTATCAATAAAACAATTAATAATTTGTGCAGATGAATAATGAATTAACCTTTGAACTATTTTAATAATTATAACTGCAAACCCTTTAATAATTATTTGTGATTCAGTAGTATTATCAAGAATTTGTAATATTGAATCAAAAATTCTATACAAACTTACAAATTCATTTGGATTAAAATTTTGAAACAAAGAATCAACTATTTTTGTTATTGTTTCTTTAAAACTATATAAATAATTTGTAATTTCATTTGGACTTAATCGAGCAAATACAGAAATAAAATTTGAAATAGAATTTAAGTACTTTTCATAATACCCTTTTGGAAAAATACCAACTTTATTTGTTTCATTTAATATAATAATTTGAGTTTTAATAATATCATCAATATTAATATTATTTGATTGTATTAATGCATATTCACTTAATAATGGGAAATAATATGATAATGAAGATAGTGTTGTAATAACAACTTTTAATATAGACTTATCTTTTGTTAAATCATAAAAAGAAGTTAATTGTAACATTGAACATACAATATCTTTATACAATAAAATAAATTCAGGTATATGAGCATCTAGTAATAAATCAAATGAAGATAATGTACTAATAACGATGTTAAGTTGTTGTGACTTTAAACAATAACGAATAAAAATCATAAGTTTAGCTAATAAAGTAGGGGATTGAATAATATCTTTAATATATGTTTCATATAAATATAAAGTTTTAATAACACAAAAATTAATAGCCTCTTGATATGAAATGTCGTTATATTGTTGTATTAAAGAAAAAAAAAGATTTCCATAAATTTTATTTAGGATAATAATACTTGTATTAGATGTTATGGCATCATCTAATAAATCACCAATTGCTTTAGTTATTTCTAATAAGTTAATTGGTGTTAATGATGATACATTTAAACAAGGAATTAATGTAATCCATAATAGTCTTAAATGTTTTTCTTTAATAAAAAGAGTACCAAAAGGATATTCTGAAATAAGAGGAGGAGTTATTGGAATAATAGATAAAGTATTATAATGTAATAAATAATTTTTCTGAATAACAAGAATGAATTGAATAAATACCTTTCTAAATTCATAAAATGACATCCAATAAGTAAATAATGTTGGAAATAATTTATATAATTCTTTTACTTCTTGAGAAGGTTCACAAACAAGTAATAAACAAAATAATGTTTCTGACAATAATGAAATACAATGATAATCATTAACTAAAGAAGATTTCATAATTTTATAAAGAATAGTAAAATGAATTTTAAGTAAATGAATAAGTAATTCTTGATTTATTTGTTTTGTTTCAGTATATAAATGTTTTGATTCTCCTGAAGAAATTTTATTTAATAAATGAGATATTTTTAATAAAACACCAACTCGTTCAGGAATATTTGATTCATTTGAAAAAGAAAAAGGAAGAGTCAATTGATTAATCATAGTCTTTAAAAATTCAGTTGTAATAATTTTATTTCGTGGAATTGAAGTCATCCATTCATCATAAATTTCTATTGCTTGATTAATTTTTATTAAAGTATCACTTCTAATTCCATCATAAAAACATGCACCAAAAACTGATAATGTAAACATAAATTTATCTCTATTCATTTGTTTTTTTGACATAAAATTTGATGGAAATTTTGATGGATCTTTTAATATTTCTTCTATTACTTTTTTACATAAAAACATTCTTGTTTCACTACTAAAAACTAATAACCCACTATCCTCATTTGATGGAGTAATAAGTTTTAAATCCCCTGTATCTAGAATCATTATTAATATAATAAACTTTTATTTTTATTTTCAAGATCTAATCTGAATAACAATTTGTATTATTTTTTTTTGTTATAATTATTTTTATAATGGTTCGATATAAAAATAATAATTTCAGGACATAATATATAAAAAAAATTAAACAAGACAATGAACTAAAAAATATTAACAAATATAACTATTAAATTACTATTATTTAGAACTATTCAAATAATAAAAAGATTAATCCACTCAAACAGAGGTATCAAAAAAATTATTATTAAAGAAAACTAAAGGTATTTTAAAGAAATTAAAGAATAACAGTAGTAAAAAAACGTAAAAAACAAAAATAATTCTATTAAAAAAGCTGAAAAACGAAAATAAAGAATAGATAAGAAATAAGAAAAACATGAAAATTAAAAAAAGAAGATTCTAATCTTTTGTTAATAAAAGATATATTCAAGGAGATTTAAAAGAACTTTAAGTAACCATCTTTAAATTAGAAAATCCTTTTTCTACATGCTTACAATACCAAGTGGCAAATTCTTTGTTGTTGACAAATGGTATAAAAATATTATTAGTCATAAAGTATTTATTATTTGCTCAATTGTCTTAGTTATTTTTGCTTGTCAAGGAGATACTCATTTTTGTATATTCCAAAATCATGAACAACAGTGGATGAGCTTTATTTCTCAATCACAAATTAAAGAAGGGTTTGAATTTGGTCAATTTGAAATTACTACTTTTAGTAAAAATGATGAACTTATGTCATACGAAGAATTACCAATACCAAAAAGTATTGGTGATAAGTTAAATGATTATTCTGTAATTGTTTGTCTTCATAATTGTGGTGCTTTAGCAATATGGTTTATGGCATTATTTGTTATGATCTTTTAATATATTTGTGTAATTTTATTTATGTTATATTTTATGTTTGTTTTAAATAACATTTATATTAATTGATTTTATTAAATTCATTTTAATTTACTTCTATTATGATGAAAAATTGTTTTTTATATCATTTTAAATAACAAATAAATTATCTTCTTTTGGGTAAGGAAGGACGAACCATATGTGATACCGAAGCAGACGCTTTGGCTATTAACTGTTCCATTTCAACTTTATTTTTTGCCATTTTTTTGGCTTCATTTAAATAACTACTACCTTTTATTTTGTTTCCACTTTCTAAGAAAACATCGATGAGTGTAGGATTACCAGTTTGAGCTTGGGTAAATACAAAAGTGAATAAGAATATTAAAAGAACTTTCATTAATCTCTTTAAAATAAAATAATTTCTTCAGTTTTTTTTTCTTAAAAAAAATAATAAAAAAAAAATAATAAATTTATAATAAATAAATAA